TCCGACTTCAATGACACCTGACCTTGGATCAAATACTCGGGTGGCATGTAACCACTGTAACAAACCAATGTCATGTTTCAAAGTTAAGGTTTCAAACAATTAATAGTAATCTCAACATTGAATAAAGCTGCTATGCTATGATACTTACTGGGTACCAACTACTTTGCTTATCACTGCTTGAGATTGGTCAGTCTTAAACAACTTTGCTAGGCCAAAATCTGCAATCTTAGGAATAAATTCAGCGTCTAGCAGAACATTAGCAGCTTTCAAGTCACGGTGTATAACCCGCTGTTGTGATTCTTCATGAAGGTATAAGAGTCCTCTAGCAACCCCATTAATGATTTTAAGGCGCGTTTCCCAGTGCATAGATGCACGATGCTCCGGGTCTGTATTTATGTACAAACCTTAGATGATTTTGCCAAACTACTTTATGAAAAGAAAAAGATAGGACAACCATAAGCAGTAAATACTAACCAAAAAGGAAGCCATCAAGGCTTTTATTGATGACGAACTCATAGATAAGAAGCATTTCATCTTCTTCCAAGCAGAATCCGAGAAGTCTCACTAGATTCCTGTGATGCAGCTTGGCTAGGGTCAGAATTTCATTTTTGAACTGCTCTTCCCCTAGAACTGCATCCCGTTCGAACCTTTTAACTGCTATTTCTTGTCCATCAGTCAGCTTCCCCTGATTATAAAAATAACAAAGATTTATTCTTATTAGTTCTTGCATTTGATGGTATAAATCCTAGACAATTTTTGAACAATTACCTTGTAAACAGTGGCAGATCCACCTTTTCCGAGCATATTATCGACAGCAAAGTTCTCTGTTGCAACCTTTATTACCCCAGTACTGAATTGTAAGGTTTGAAGAGTGTCCATTTCTTCCTCTATGCAAATCATATGAACAATAATACAAGATTAGCTTTCTAGTTTACTTTTAAAATTGGACTGCTACTAGTCTAATAGATAAGAATCCTTGCTTACTGTGAAAATTTCCAGAAAACTTTCTCTGCTTCTTCCTTCGTACAAAGATAGAGATGGAAGCTATGATAAGGATGAGTACTAATGATCCAACAATCGGAACAATGATAGCAATGATTTTATGTGACTTGCTACTACTTGCACCTAAAAAAAAAAACAAAACACAAATCCATGATACGAGTTGGACTAACTAAAATACTGAAAGAAAGCTAAGTTAACCAGAGAACCAAAAATTCTATGCATATTTTTTTACCATGTGCAGAAGAAGTAGCATTTCTGGTGGAGCCGGGTGGAGTAGCGACATAAGTTACATTCTTATAGAAAGGATAAAGTTCATAACGAAGATTGCAACTAGGCGAAATCACTCTTCCTCCTGTAGCCATAAAGAAAGGACTGGTGGTGATAAAATACTTTGTGAAGACACTCAAAGTGATATTTTGCACACACTTAACACAGTCGAGCCTAGTCAAGTCAGGACTACACTGAACAAGTCCATACAAGGATTGCTTGGCCGTAATTTTCGTGTTTCCGGTAGCAAATTTGAGAATAGAATTACCTAATGAAGCTTTGTTTTGCAAAGAGGTCATTAATGTAGTAAGTGAACTATTTAACTTGTGAATATTATCAGTAACATTGCCATCAAACCGAACAGCCCAAAATGGCCTATCTGTTAAAACATGAAACAGACTGATGTTTGTGTAATATATTACACAGTTCTCAGAATACCCGAGTGCCTTCATACTGTTGGGACAGACTGAAAGCAGAGTAGTAGCAGAAGAACGGACACAATCACGACAATCATCAACTGAGACATCGGCCCTGCAGAGGGACATGGCTTCGACTTTGTTGGGTTGTTGGCCGGCGGTGAAGTTATAGTAGCCGTAAGTGATTTGGGTGTCTGAAGACATAGAATTGAGGGCTGTTTTAAGGTTTGTTAGATAAGCATTGGGAGTGGAGTGATTGTCTCCACACTCTTTATCGAGAAACTCAAATAATTGAGCAGAAGTTTTGGGAATTACATAAAGTAGTTGAACCACAAATACTAAGAAGAATAACTTGGTTAATTCCATGTTTGCTGTGAATGTGATTCAGATGGTAGCTAACAGAGGTCTATAAATAAATATTAAATGATGAAAAGGGTAAATCGGGTCATAAAAATATATTGTATGACAAAAAGGATAAGTCGGGTCACAGGTTGTTATCATACGAGTCATAGCGAAGTTGCCTTATATTCTGTTGAAATTTATAATCAACTTGGATTGTTTTAAGAAACTACGAAGTATTTTATCTTTCGGGAATCTGGACATGAAGCATTGGCGGACCTGGCCTTGTGCATGGTGAGTCAAATGACTCATCAGGGCCCAAAAAAAAAAAATTCTAAGTTTTTTTTTAAAAAAAAAAAAAAAATTGTTTTCTTTGGTTGATTTTGTTGTTGTTTGTTTGGTAAACTTTGAACCTTTTGTTAATGTTGTTGGATTTTTGATGAAATTTGAACCTTTTTTACCATGTGAATTGTAGTAAGTGTTTATTTAGGGTGTTTATTGATGTTAATTATATCTATCAAATTGTCAATACACCATTGGCTTTGGTAGATTTATATGGGGTTTCGCATATGTGCTGATTTGATTGGCGATTCAGACGATTGCTTATGATATAGTCGACCCACCCTAATGATATAGTCAATTATGTCTGTCAAATTGTCAATACATCCTAATGCTTGTACAGATTTTAATCTTGTCAATTATTAGAAAGCTAAGCTTGTCATGTTGTCAATTTTTTTTTTTACATATTTGGTTATCGATTGTGACTCAGCAGTCAGAAATTCCTGGATCCGCCGCGCACACGAAGGATTCTCTTTTGGACATACTGACACTATGGATGAGTGCGTCGTCTATGATCTATGAATTCAATCTTATTCCATAACACATAGATATGTAAGGTACTGTTCATTTCACCTTAAAAAATAATATTAAGTAAAAATAATTTCAATTCAATAAAAATAAGTTTAGTCCAGTAAAAATTATTTCAGTTCAGCAAAAATAAGTCCAGTTTAGTAAAATTCAGTAACTTTATAGAATAAATATAACATAAAATCAGTAAAAAATAATTTTAGTTGAGCAAAAATAATTGTTGTTTAGTAAAAATAATTTCAGTTTAGCAAAAATAATTTCAATTCAGCAAAAATAAGGTGAAGTGAACGACGGCTAATGGATTAACTATTCCACGTTAAAGGAATAAGAAAATTAACATATTTGACTATTCCATTAGCATGCTTCATTTCCACATAATTTTTGGGTGCAAAACTGCAAAATGTGGTAAACGGTCCTCCTAAAGTACTACCAGGCATAACACGTTAATAGACTTTTAGTTGTAATTTGAACTTATGTAATGAAATTCACTATTATGTAAACTTATATTTCCAAAATATAGGATGTGTCTATTCTCCTATATTTCAGTATATAAAGCCACAAACACGACTAAGAGGAAAGAGATAATAATAATTTTTAAAAAAATATAAAGAATTTTAATTCAAAAAGTATGATTTATTTTTTTTAAAAAAAAGCCGAATAAAAATGGTGTTATACAAACGGAAAGAGTACTTGCCAAAAAAGAAAAAAAATAATAATAAAAAAAAGAAATAGTAAAACATACTTGCTCCACTTTTCTTTTGCGGCCTTCGCATTTTATTACTTGCTTAATTTCTCCAAGTCATCAGCAGAATTTTATTAGGAGAAATAATAATATAAAATAATTTAATTACTTGCTCCACTTTCCTTTTGCGGCCTCCGTATTTTATTACTTGTTTTATTTCTTTTTTTGGAAATCTTTTACAATATTGTATTGCATTAATTTCTTCTCTCTAAATGGGCCCTCTAACTAGTTACTATCATACTTTAATATTTTCATATTCTTTTTCTCCCAGCTATTATACTTTTTTTTTTACCAACCACACTTACTTCATATTTTAATTTTATTATTTTATACTATTATTTCTCCTAATAAAATTCTGTAGATGACTTGGAGAAACGGAGCAAGTAATAAAATACGAAGGGCGTATGCTCAAAGTGGATAAGATAGTAGGAGCTATGTAAAGATGTAACAATTATTGTAAGTATTTAAATCATTCCATATGAAGACTATAATTACTTTTAAAAAATACACTATTTATAGTTTTACAATTTACAAGATTTAATCTTGTTTCAAAAAAAATGAAAAAAAATAAAAAAATAAAATAATAATAATAATAATAATAATAATAATAATAATAAGATAAAATAATAAAAATGAAATTACATGATCTAATCTAGTTTATTTATTTATTTATTTATTTATATTTTTGGGTGAAATCTAAAAATAACTTCTAATAAGTTGGCCATCCAAAATAGTAGTCAAATTGTGGAACAACTTAGGAAAAGTAAAAGTACTAAAGTAGTGCCCCTCTTCAAAGGGAAACGGAAAGAATTGGCGAGTGCACAAATCAACAGTTGACTGTATCATTGACGTAAGAAGGTGGGCACAAAATGTTTAAGAGGAGCAGGGTAGGCTTAATTGAGCTCAAATCAAAGCTACTTCGCAAAGATAACAAAAAGTCACTCCGTATTTCTTAACTATTTATACAAAAGAACCAAGAAAATAATATTCAAATCATTGTATTTTTAATTAAAACGCTAGGAAATCTATTTCTGATAAAATACATCGTGTTTTGTTATAAGGCTAAACTCACAATAAGAGGGAGCCCCCATTTCTCATAGTGTTCTCACATGCCATTTTTGTAAATAAACCAACAACTTTATTCAATTGTGGAACCTAGAATAATAAAAAAGCTGTTGATTGATTCATGAAAATGCCCTCATGAGAAACAAATTTCGTTTCTCACTATGAGAAACAGGGAATTCCTCACAATAATACATGAATCTATTTCACTTGTTTGTCTAAATGTAGTTGTCATAAGTAACATGGTTTATATATACTATTGACTTGACAATTAGGCATCCCTTCAATACCTTCAAGGGCCATCTTCACCTAGGGTGCAACTCTGTTATTGAAACATTATTGATTGAACCTTTATCTGATCTTATACTCGACTTAGCCGTTGTGCTCCACTCCAAGAGCATATTGGGTAGATTTTGTCTCTCGGTATAAAATGCAGGGTGTGCCGGTACTTGAAGTGTAACAGAATCACTACTCAACATCAGATCGACTGCAGACATCGTTGCCCTGTCTACAGGGTTGTCTTGGACACACAACAAACCGATGTGGATGCATCTCAATATCTCGGTACTAGAACCGGGTGGTATTACAGGATCTACCAGATTCCAAGCATTGCCGTCAGTCCAATTTCTCCAAGCCTATAAACCAATATAATGTTGCAATGCCATTTATGAATTTTTGTAACATTGTAAAAGAAAGTTGTCAAATTTTTATTAGGTAACTTACAAAGCTTAAGAGGTTTTCTACATTCTCCTCATCGTTTAAAAATGAAGTAGTCCTTTGTCCGCTTACTATCTCTAGGACGAGTACACCAAAGCTGTAGACGTCTGACTTTACTGATACTTGACGTTAAAGAGCATACTCAGGTGAAATGTAACCTCTGCAAAAACAATATAATATATTTCTTGTTTCGGTTTGAAAAAAATGGACCTTCGGCAGGCCCTTCGGATGAGTAGAGATGAAGCCCAATTCGTGTGGTGACCGAATTGGGGATTTCCTGCACAACTAAACACACGTAAACTAGCCTCGGGGGTTGTGCCGAGGAAGGCCCCTCCGATGCCGAAGTCAGAACGGATGTAAGATAATGAGAGAAAAACTATGCAAGAGAGTTTGTTGCTTGAGGCATTTCATGTGAAGCCCCTATAATTGTGCAAAAATGAAAGCTATTATACCTTGCTCCAATTAGATGGATTGGGCTTGAGGAATCAAATGGGCTGCCATTTGATTGGGCCTTGCTATACCTGACTTGGCTAATTTGTAATGAGGGTTGAACCTTGCCTTTTGGGCTTTGATTATTTTCATTGTGGACTGGGCCCAAATACAAGTTATTTGGACCCCAAACAACTTGCCCCCCAGACCCGATTCGTGAGGATAACGGGTCGGGTTTCAGCTGCTGAGGGATTTGAGGGAAATAAATGAAAATAATTTAAATGTTTTTGAGAATTTGTACGGTTTTAATAACCGTTAATAATGATTAATTAACCTTAATGACGGTTAACTAATGATAGTGGGTAAGTGGAGTGAACTTAGTGGATAATTAATTTTTGGCGGTTTGTAATTGGTCTGTGAAGAATTCGAAGAGTTTGTGAGTTAAAATCAAATGAGTGGGATTCTTGCCAGGTATTTGACTTACCTTTGCATCAACATTTCCGGCATTCTCAAATCAAAACACATTCGTAATTCACTCTCACTTCCCAGCAAACTCGCGCAACTCCACTTTTTCTTTTCACTAATTTCTGCACTTTCCGAAGCTTTTCAGCGAAATTCTTTGCTCCGAACTACTAAATCGGCGAATTCCGAGTCCGATAGAGGTAATTTTCTCCGAACTCCGTTCGGATTTCCCCTTTCTTTAAGCTTTTCCCCTTTTTCCTGTCTTTTCTCATCGCCGTCAGTTTTTGAAATGGCCGGCAACCTTGGAAAGAGACCAATGGAACCTGAGGCCGAGGCTTCCGAAGAAGAGGTGCCGCAATTAATTCTAAAGCGCAACCGTCCTCTAGCAATGATGTCGTTTCTGAGCGGTAACCCTAATGCCCGAATCGAGGTCGGTTCATCCTCGAGTGGCGAGAGACTGAGGGCCATCCCTTTGAATAGTGCCCCTCCTAATGAACCAGCCGAAGCTAGTACTTCTGGCCGAAGGGCTTTCTCAAGGCCTCGGCCTTTGACTCCTGAAGAGAGGGAGTGGACTGACAAGCACGAGAACTCAGGTCTGCTGATGACCGAGCCATCCTCATAGTGGCTGGAAAATGATGCTTGGTACCGCTTCGCCGAGCAGCTAGAAGTATATTACAGCATAATGGAAGCCGATGGGTACTGGTGCCGAATGCCCACGGCGCTGGAGAGAATTTATAGGGCCCCTCCTGGCTACATTGGGGTTTATGTTCGGCAGCTGCAGAACGGGCTGCGATTTCCTGTTCACACGTTCGTCATCAAAGTTCTGAACGGATACAACATTTCTTTGGCCTCCTGACCCCGGTTTGTGTCAAAAGAATCATGACGTATTTGTGGGTGTACCTCTTCTATGGGCTGGAGTCGAGCGTCCATTGCTTTCGGTGCACGCATAAACTGTCACCGAACACCCAATCCAGCAAATGGCATGGCCGAGGCTGGTGGCACATAGAAGACGAGAAGGGCTATTTGACCTCCTATCCGAATGACACTTCGGACAAATTTTGGAGAGGTCAATGGATCTGGGTGCGAGCCCTTTCGGACGAGAGTCACCCTAATTATTTCGGGGGACTCGCTATACTAGAAAGCCCGATCCATCGATGTCAAGCCTCGGCCCTGACGATTTCACAGAAGCGGATCATCATCAGATGGAGCTCTTTGGCCGATCCTCCAATCCTGGCGCTACTAGCCGAATGACCGTTGTGCCAACTGTCTGGCTACCGTGTTGTCATTACATCTTCCAAGAGAAGATGCTAGCAGTTGTCGGCCTCAGCCGAAGATACCAAGGTGGTAAGTGATTCGGCTGGGGCCGAAGCTTTTATTTTCTGCTTTTCAATTTCTGCGATCTGAAGCTTTTTATTTGAACAAATGTTTTGCTTCTGACTATTTTTCAGAAATCTGCGAGGAGAATTCTGGTATCAATTACGAAGTGTTGGGTATCAGCCGGGAAAGGGAGTCGATCACCAATACCCCTGTTATCACTGCTGTGAAGGATCGACCACTGACGCTGTAGCCGAGGAAGCTAGAAGTGGTCAGCGCCTTCAAATACCTGGCACAGAAGCCTTGGTTCAAGAAGCTTGATCCTTTTTTCCTTCATTCAGCTGAAGAGGAAGCTGCTGCTGCTGCTGCCGCTGCTACGTCAGAATTGAAGGTGGTATCGCACATCCACCACCTCCTCCATCCGAGCAACAGGGAGAGGAAGGTTCAGAAGAAGAGAACACCGAAGAATTATTCGGGCCTTCAGTAAGTCCACTGTCCTTCTGCAGTCTTTTTCCATACTTGAATTTTCGTGAAATTTCTCTAAGTATAGAGTTTCAGCTTTTTGATCTTTCGGCTTGTGAAGCATTTTTCTAAGTATGCATGTTACACGTAGCTTTTCTTAACTTGTAAGAACATTTTGCTAAGTGTAGATCTTCGGATGCATATCTTTCTGATGTTTGAGGCTTCGGCTGAAATATCTGCGTGCTTCTACCTTGAGTTTACTTGCTGTTGCTTTTTTGTTGTTTTGTTGTTGTTTTTTTTTTTAGTTCTTACTCGTCTTCCTGCCCCCTCTTTCTTTTCTTCTGCAGTCCGAAGGGGAAGAAATAGAGAAAGAAGTCCCCTCTCCTGAAACCGTTGCCGAAGACATGGCTGGCGGGAGAAGAAGACCTTTGGTTCGCCCTGGTCAATTCAAGGCGCCAGAGCTCCCTGTCAAAAGGCCTCGGCGAGAAGAACTTCAAGAAGAGGCAGCCGAAGTCATTTCCCCTTCTCGGGAAGTTTTTATCGAAGTGGTCGAGCTGCAAACTAACCCTTCACCTCCTCGACACGTAGCTGCGCCATTTTCCGATGAGGTTCGGCACGAGGTGGATGTGCTGGGCATCCAAACTGAGGATCCTGGCCTTGCTGAGAAAGGAAGCGAGCCTGAGCTGGCCGAACCTGATGTGCTCACGCACTAGGACATCCCCTCTAGCTAAGCTGCGAACTCGTTCAAGACTTTCCAGTCAGCTGAAATGGGTTTCGGCTCAGTGCCTTTGGTTCCCGTCCCTGCTCATGCACGAGCGATTTTTGAAGATAGGCGCGACTCTGCCTTCTTCTTCTTCGGCAACTTGGGCAACCTTTCAGCTGTTGAAAGGGCAAAGGCGTGGATGTAGGGCACCGCTGCTGAGGCCGCTGAGTCTTTGGAGAGCGTGCCAAACCCTCTTCTAGAGAACCAAAGGGTTCTGATGTAGGTAACCTTCCTACACTTACTTCTTCTTCTCCTCTTCTTCTTTTTTCTTTTCTTTTTTTTTTTTTTGAAGAATTCCTTTAAGTGTTGGACTTCGGCTAACTGCTAAGCTGCGATTGCTGTCTTTTGCAGGCTGTGCACAACCATTTCCTCATTGTGGAAATGTTTGAAGAGGTCTAAAGTCAGGCAGCCAAAGTTGAAGAGGCTAAAGCTCTGGCTCGGCTGGCTGAGATGAAGCAAGCCAAGGCTGAAGACGATGCTTCAGCTACCAGGCTAGAAATTCAGCGAATGGATGAGAACTTCCGCACCTTCTGCCATGGTTTGGAGCAGACAGTCTTCCCTTGGATCGAGGAGGGTCAGTCTCTCATGAAAGAGTATGGAGCTGATACCCTTGCCGAGTTCCGGTCTCGGCTTGAGACTTAAATGAAGGAAGATGCTGATGCTCGGCATCTCCTTGTCTCTGCCCATGAGATACAGCTGGCCCAAGCTCGGGAAGAAGCTGAGAAGAAGCAGAATGACTTGCTTGCTGCCAACCAGAAGCTGAAGGATGATCTGGTAGCTCAGAGCACCGAGCTGGAGACTCAAAGGACTGAGCTGCGGAATGCCTAGGAGCTGCTCAAAACCCGAGTTTATACAGAAGCTGAATATGCTGAAGGGTTTGAGAATGGCTGGAAGTCAGCTCGGCGCTTGGCTCTACATGATGCCCCTGATCTCAACTGGGACCAGGTTGAGGCTTGGTCGATGGATCCTGACAATCCTCGAATCAACGAGGCTAGTCAGGTTGAGATAGACTTCCTGGTTCGACAAGCCGAAGCCGATGCCAAGGAAGCTGAGGAAACTGCTAAGGAGGCTGAAGCTGCTGGTCCTGCCTCCTCTTCAGCTATGGCCGGTCCATCTGGGGTTCCAGAGAATGCTGAAGCATAGGAACTCGGGCAGCTGTCTTCTGAGTCTTGTGGATTAACATGCGCTTAACTTGTAAACGCCGCATCAGCTTTTGCCTGTTTCTTTTGCCTTCAGCTTGCCTATGTACAAACTTAATTTATAACTTTCTGAGTAGATGCATTAGAATTTCAGCTGTTTCCTCTTACTTTGCCTATTTTTATAGCTTTGAACTTAATTGCTTATTCTTGAATTTCTTCGAAATTTAGCTAAGTACAGAGCTTCGGCCTGGAAGTCTTTAGCTGATGATTCCCTTTACCTCTTTACGCCTTGCCCATTTCACTTGGCTTTCTCGCAAAGATATTTCCAAGTACTGAGCACTTCAGCTTAGAGCTCGGTATGTGAGTACCTTCTGCCCCCCCCCAGAACTTTGAAGATGTTGTCTTCAGAGTTTTGAGTGCTATTGCCCTTGATCTTTCTGGTGTGGCTGAAGATTTGTTATAGTTCGCACGCTTATGCCTATTCCTTATATTTTGCCCGGTTTTAATTCATCCGAGGGAACGACTACCTTGGACACAATGCCAGGGCGACGATCATCTGAAGTACAAGGCATCATTATGCAATACTTCAGAGGTGCAATCGCCACCCGGAATTGACTCGCCGAAGCATAGGGCATCACTATGCAATGCCTCGGGCATTTTATCAATTCCTATTTTCGGCTATGTCTTAGGTGAGCCTGTGACCTCTTCGCCGAGAGTAGCAAATCCGTCCGAGGTACAGGGCATCATTATGCAATACCTCGAGGTTCTATTTGTTACTCTCATATCGGCAGGTTCTTCGGCTTGCCGAAGTACAGTGCATTGCAATGCAATACTTCGGACAGCACCGGGTGTAAACCTTGAGTTTTTTCAAAAATCGGCAAAGACAGAAATAATGAAAGCAGAATAAAATTATGAATAACTACGGCTCAAGGGCCTTTCACTGATCTGAAGAGAATGTACTTACACAGATTTTTACACATGGAATTTTCTAAGTATATCTGCGTTCTAGTGGTTTTTCAACTCAGTTCCATCTAACTGCCAAAGGCGATAAGTTCCTGGTTGGAGCTCATCATATATTTCATAAGGCCCTTCTCAGTTAGCTGAGAGTTTTCCATGGATGCGGCTTTTCTGAACAGCGGCAACATTTCGAAGAACAAGATCCCCAACCTTGAGGAGTCTTGGCTGGACTCTTCGGTTGTAGAATTTGTTGATTCTCTGTTTGTACGCTGCCATTCTGTCCCTTGCCGAATCTCGGTTCTCGTCTAAGAAATCGAGGGACTCTTTCATGAGATGCTCGTTCTCCTCGGCTGAGAACTGATTGACTCTAAGACTTTCTGAGCCAATTTCCACTGGCAAAACGGCTTCGGATCCATACACCAATTCAAAAGGTGAATGCTCCGTGGCCTCTTTTTTAGTTGTCCGAAGTGACCATAGAGTTCCAGGAAGCTCTTCTATCCACTTGGACTTTTGATCTTCAACTCTCTTTTTGAGAGCGTTGAGTATCTGTTTATTTGCAGCTTCGGCCTGGCCATTACTTAAAGGATGGCAGACTGCCGAATATGCCAGCTTTATGCCGAACTGATCTGTGTACCGCCTCAGCGGCAGATTGTCAAATTGCCTTCCATGATCGAAGACAAACACTTTTGGAATGCCGAAGCGCGTGATGATATTCTGCCAAATAAATTTCCTGACCGTTTGCTCAGTTATGTTTGAAGCTGCCTCGGCTTCCATCCATTTGCTGAAGTAGTCGATTCCGACTATCAATCATTTTTTCCGATAAGGTGCCTCGAGAAATGGTCCTAGAATATCCAACCCCCATTGAGCAAAAGGGAGTGGATTCAGGATCGGCTGAAGGTCCCTTGAAGGCCGATGAATAACAGGTGCGAATTTTTGGCATTTTTCGCATTTCCGCACCAAGTCCTTGGCATCTTGGATCATGGTTGGCCAATAATATCCTGCCCGTAATGCTTTATGGGCTAGGGTCCTCCCCCCTATGTGGTTTCCACAGATGCCAAAATGGATCTCCCGAAGGATATAATCCGCATTCGTTGGACCCACACATTTGAGCAATGGGGCGGAGAAGGATTTTTTCAGCAGCTCTCCCTTGTAGATAATGAACCATGAGCCAACCCTTTTCATTTTTGTGGCTAGGTTCCTATCCTCGGGGAGCGTTCCTTGAAGCTTATAAGCTAGGATGGGGTCCATCCAGCTGGGTTCAGCTTCAGCGCATTGGACCTCAATTTCTTGGTCAATGCTTCTGTTTCGCCGCACCTCCACATATACGGATCGGTTCAGCTCAGTCAGAGTTGAACTTGCAAGTTTGGAGAGCGCATCGGCTTGAGCATTCTGACCCCTTGGGATTAGCTCAATTTCAAAAGTTCTCAGCTTCGCTATGACTGATTTAATCTTGGCAAGATAAGAGATCATGGAGGGCTCCTTAGCTTCATACTCGCCCCGAATCTGATTAGCGACCAGCTGAGAGTCTGTTTTTAAACAGACATGTTCGGCTTCGAGAGCTATGCACAGTTCTAAGCCAGCAACTGCTGCTTCATATTCTGCTTCGTTGTTGGAAGCCTTAAATGAAAATTTGAGTGCATACTTGAAGTTTCTGCCTTCGAGAGAGGTGATTACCACCCTAGCTCCCGAACCATTTATGGTGGCTGAGCCATCCGTAAACACAATCCAAGTCCCCTTCCCTTCGTCGAGTGTTTCCTGGTAGGAACATTCGGCTAGGAAGTCTGCTAGGGCTTGGGCCTTGATTGCTGCCCTCGGCTGGTAGCTTATGCTGAACTCAGTGAGCTCGAAGGCCCACTTTGTTAGCCTGCCTGATTTCTCAACTTTGCCGAGGACTTTTTCCAGCGGTTGATCTGTTAAGACAACTATTTGACGTGAGTCAAAATAAGGTCTTAACTTCCGAGCTGCCACTACCACTGCATATGCAACTTTTTCGAGCAGAGGGTAGCGCGTTTCGGCATCAGTCAAAGTATGACTGACGAAATAGATCGGTTGCTGAACCTTTTCTTCTTCCTTCAGCAGCACCGCACTCACTGTAGCAGGGCTAACTGCCACATATAAGTACAAGAATTCTCCTTCGGCTGGCCTCGCCAGTGTCGGGAGGTTAGCCAAGTGTTCTCGGAGCTGCTGGAAGGCTACTTTTTGCTCATCTTCCCATATGAGCTCCTTGGATTTTGGAAATTTCAGCGCTTTGAAGAAGGGCAAGCCTTTATCCGAGGCTTTTGAGATGAACCTGGATAAGGCAGCCATCCTCCCAGTAAGACGCTGAATGTCCCTTTTTGTCTTCGGCTCGGGAAGATCAAGAGCTGCTTGAACTTTGGCGGGATTGGCATCAATCCCCCTCTTGCTGACCATGAAACCCAGGAATTTCCCAGACCTCACGCCGAAGACACATTTCTTCGGATTCAGCTTCATTTGGTGTTTTCTTAGAGTGGTGAACGTTTCGGTTAGGTCTGCAACATGGTCTCTCGCCTCTTTGCTCTTGACGATGGAATCGTCAACATAGACTTCCATGTTGCGGCCTTTTTGCTCGACAAACACCTGGTCCACCAGTCTCTGATATGTAGCCCCGACATTCTTCAGGCCGAAGGGCATCATTTTATAGTTATACACCCCGACGCTTGTAACAAATGCCGTTTTTGCTCTGTCATCGGGGTGCATGAAAATCTGATGGTACCCAGAAAATGCGTCCATGAAACTGAGCAGAGCATGGCCACTTGTCGAGTCGACCAGCTGATCAATTCTCGGCAAGGGATAAAAGTCCTTCGGACAGACTCTATTCAGGTCCGTGAAGTCAACGCACATTCTCCAGGTGTCATTAGCTTTGTGAACCATTACTACATTCGCCAGCCATTCAGGGTACTGGTAAGGTTCAATGAACCTTGCTTCCAGAAGCTTTTTAACTTCAGCTGCGATGTCTTGGTTCTTCTGAGCGGAGTAGTTCCGCTTCTTTGATTTGAGAATGCCGGAAATGTTGATGCAAAGGTAAGTCAAATACCTGACAAGAATCCCACTCATTTGATTTTAACTCACAAACTCTTCGAATTCTTCCCAGACCAATTACAAACCGCCAAATATCCACTAAGTTCACTCCACTTCCCCACTATCATTAATTAACCGTCATTAAGGTTAATTAATCATTATTAACGGTTATTAAAACCGTACAAATTCTCAAAAACATTTAAATTATTTTCATTTATTTCCCTCCAAATCCCTCAGCAGCTGAAACCCGACCCGTTATCCTCACGAATCGGGTCTGGGGGGCAAGTTGTTTGGGGTCCAAATAACTTGTATTTGGGCCCAGTCCACAATGAAAATAATTAAAGCCTAAAAGGCAAGGTTCAACCCTCATTACAAATTAGCCAAGTCAGGTATAGCAAGGCCCAATCAAATGGCAACCCATTTGATTCCTCAAGCCCAATCCATCTAATTGGAGCAAGGTATAAAAGCTTTCATTTTTGCACAATTACATTCATTCACAAGAAATGCCTCAAGCAACAAACTCTCTTGCATAGCTTTTCTCTCATTATCTTACATCCGTACTGACTTCGGCATCGGAGGGGCCTTCCTCGGCACAACCCCCGAGACCAGTTTACGTGTGTTTAGTTGTGCAGGAAATCCCCAATTCGGTCACCACACGAATTGGGCTTCATCTCCACTCATCCGAAGGGCCTGCCGAAGGTCCATTGTTTTCAAACCGAAACATTTCTTGTACAAATTAAAGAAATCATAAGAACATAAGCCAATAATATTGTAGGTAGAGTTTGAAGATTTTGGATGCTTACAAGGTACCGACAATTTTGCTAGCCAGTGTTTGAGTTCGATCAATGTTAAATAGCCTTGCCATACCAAAATCCGCGATCTTTGGATAGAAATCCTCGTCTAGGAGAATATTTGCAGCTTTAAGGTCACGACGTATGATTTTTAGTCTAGAATTTTCACGGAGGTACAAGATCCTTCTAGCTATACCATAATGTATGAATTTGTACCGTGTTTCCCATTGCATAGACTAACGACTTAATGAATCTGCATTTTATTAAATGTAACAAAATTTTAGAAAATCTTATTATTCCCCTTGAGGTACCAAATTCTGCATATCCCAAATCATCTAGTATAACAATGCACCACAATTATTTAACGTACCATCATTCTGTCACAACTTCTTGTATACTCTTTCTACCCGGAATTAAACAGATTTATTAGTACCTCCGTTGTATTAGCATGACATTACTAGTACTTCATATGAATTTATATTAAAAGAAGAGTTCATCACTCACCAAATGTAAACTTATCAAGGCTTCTATTAGCAACGAGCTAGTAGATGAGAATCAGTAGCCAGTCAGTTGTTCTGCCATCTTTGACAGCGCCTCCAGCTTTTCCGTATAAGAGAAACCTTCCTCAAGCATTGAGTGCAAGTAATGCTCATTTTACAGAGGTGTTCACTAATGTGAATGGCAGGTAATTTTATTACATGAAAGCTCTGCTACTTAGGAGGCTGATTGATTATGCTCGTAATGCTTAAAACCTGTATATAGGGATTGTTTTACACAACAAATGATTCTACTTTGACGTGGATCCAAAAGTATCTCTGTGTGTGTATGTCTGCATGATAGTTTGCCAAGACTGCCTAAATATAGCATATAAATGTCTGCATATATAGTATCACTGTGGGAGGGTCTCCACAAAACATCATACGGTGTAACAACTTATTACACAAGAAGAGCTTAAAATATTACAATTTCATACAGTATATACATATTCACCATAAGTTGGCTAATACATGCAATAAAAAGAAACAATGTAATATGTATATCTTATAAAGCTGCAGACACAGTTTATAACTTCGCAGTATATAACCTTGAGTGGACCTTGATCTCTATTATCGAGGGTAGAGCTCTGTCACAGAAGCGTCATTAACTGACAATGATCTGCTATTTGATTGATCTGAGGAATTGTCTTGTGAAGGTTCACTTAGTAGCATGGGACGATTTTGTATGAAAAATGCTGGTTGCAAAGGCACTTCCACGGTCATAGTGTAGCTACTTAGCATAAGAGATACTGAAGACATGGTTGGTCTATCGGCCATGTTATTCTGGACACACAGTAAACCGATGTGTATGCATCTCAGTATCTCAGCACTAAAAGCAGGGGATAGTGCAGGGTCAACAAGATTCCACGCTTTGCCTTCTTGCCAGTTTTTCCATGCCTAAGACATCGTAATTTCAATGTTAAGGAAGCTTGGTTTGTGTTAATTAATATTTATATAAGTTGAGTGTAAGAATTGATGGTCACACTTACATAAGCAAGCAGATTTTCCTGATTTTCTCCAATTTGGAAAGAGCTAATCTTTTGGCCACTAACAATCTCCAAAATAAGTACACCAAAGCTGAAGACATCCGACTTCAATGACATCTGACCTTGGATCAAATACTCGGGTGGCATGTAACCACTAACAAACCAATGTCATGTTTCAAAGTTAAGGTTTCAAACAATTAATAGTAATCTCAACATTGAATAAAGCTGCTATGCTATGATACTTACTGGGTACCAACTACTTTGCTTGTCACTGCTTGAGATTGGTCAGTCTTAAACAACTTTGCTAGGCCGAAATCTGCAATCTTAGGAATAAAATCTGCGTCTAGCAGAACATTAGCAGCTTTCAAGTCACAGTGTATTATCCGCTGTTGTGAATCTTCATGGAGGTATAAGAGTCCTCTAGCAACGCCATTAATGATTTTAAGGCGTGTTTCCAAGTGCATAGATGCACGATGCTCCGGGTCTGTATTTACGTACAAGCAAGACTTAGATGATTTTGCCAAACCACTTTATGAAAAGAAAAAGATAGGACAACCATAAGCAGTAAATACTAACCAAACAGATAAGAAGCATTTCATCTTCTTCAAAGCAGAATCCGAGAAGTCTCACTAGATTCCTGTGATGCAACTTGGCTTAATCATTTTCTCTCCTCTACTTAATATGTGTGCCTAAATTGAACGCGTCAACTAAAGAAAAACGGAGGAAGTATAATTTATTCAACGATAAGTTATAAGACTTTGCGGAAAGGTACCAAAACAACTCTTTCAAGATCAATACCCGTATCTCACTTAACAATAGTATGAGCTACCATATTAAATGCTTTTCTAAGATGTGACAAATTAACGAAATCGAAAGAAGTACTATCTTGCTTGATATCATCATAGATTAGATGGATAGGAGAAATACCACACCATGACCCCTTCAAAGCATGAATGATAGTATCAGCATCGCTTTCCACCCATACTTGACTATGTCAGAATTTCATTTTTGAACTGCTCTTCCCCTAGAACTGCATCCCGTTCGAACCTCTTAACTGCTATTTCTTGTCCATCAGTCAGCTTCCCCTGATTATAAAAATAACAAAGATTTATTCTTATTAGTTCTTGCATTGGATGGTATAAATCCTGGACAATTTCTGAACATATAACTTTTAAAATTGGACTGCTACTAGTCTAATAGATAAGAATTCTTGCTTACTGTGAAAATTTCCAGAAAACTTTCTCTGCTTCTTCCATCGTACAAAGATAGAGATGGAAGCTATGATAAGGATGAGTACTAATGATGCAACAATTGGAACAACGATAGCAATTTTTTTATGTGAGTTGCTACTACTTGCACCTACAAAAAAGAAAAAAACAAAACACAAATCCATGATAGAGTTAGGACTAACTATAATACTGAAAGAGAACTAAGTTAACCAGAGAACCAAAATTTTTATGCATATTTTCTTACCATGTGCAGAAGATGTAGCATTTCTGTTGGAGCCGGGTGGAGTAGCGACATAAGTTACATTCTTATAGAAAGGATAAAGTTCATAACGAAGATTGCAACTAGGCGAAATCACTCTTCCTCCTTTAGCCATAACGAAAGGACTAGAGGTGATAAAAAACTGTGTGAAGACACTCAAAGTGATATTTTTCACACACTTAACACAGTCGAGCCTAGTCAAGTCAGGACTACACTGAACAAGACCATACAAGGATTGGTTGGCAGTAAGTTTCGTGTTTCCGGTAGCAAATTTGAGAACAGAATTGCCTAATGAAGCTTTGTTTTGCAAAGAGGTCATTAATGTATTAAGTGAACTATTTAACTTGTGAATATTATCAGTAACATTGCCATCAAACCGAAGAGCCCAAAATGGCCTATCTGTTAAAACATGAAACAGACTGATGTTTGTGAAATATATTACACAGTTCTCAGAATACCCGAGTGCCTTTATACTGTTGGGACAGACTGAAAGCAGAGTAGTAGCAGAAGAACGGACACAATCACGACAATCATCGACTGAGACATCGGCCCTGCAGAGGGACATGGCTTCGACTTTGTTGGGTTGTTGGCCGGCGGTGAATTGAGGGCTGTTTTAAGGTTTGTTAGATAAGCATTGGGAGTGGAGTCATTGTGTCCACACGCATTATAGAGAAACTCAAATAATTGAGCAGAAGTTTTGGGGATTACATGAAGTAGTTGAACCACAAATACTAAGAAGAATAACTTGGTTAATTCCATGTTTGCTATGAATGTGATTCAGATGGTAGCTAACAGAGGTCTATAGATGAATATTAAATGATGAAAAGGGTTAATCGGGTCATAAAAATATTTTATATGACGAAAAGGGTAAGTCGGGTACTCGGGTCACAGGTTGTTATCATACGAGTCATAGCGAAGTTGCCTTATATTCTGTTGGTATTTATAAACAACTTGGAGTGTTTTAATAAACTATTAGTTAAATACTAGTGTTTTATCTTTTGAGAATCAAAACACGAAGGTTGGAATAAAAGAAGTGAATTGTTAAACATCGTCCGCAAATTTTTACATAAAGCTCACAAATTTTAATGAATTGATACTTTTGCCCTTTTTTCTAATTTTTACCGAAAACGTAATTCTCTCCCACGAAAAATGTGGAGTCGGAGTGGATCGCCGAGGGACACCAAAGAGCCGACGGACATCAGCGAACCTTTATTATCGCTGGAAAGCGGCGTAAAATGGGGGGAAAATACAAAATTTAGGGGTGGCGTCTTGCCGGGACGCGGTCACCATGAGAGTAATACGAAGTATCATAAATAGTCAGAATTTCAGAATGCATTTGGTCAAAGCCGCCACTCCGTTAATAAAATAATGCACTCATCCACAACTCCACAAGTGGAGCATGGTTATGGTATGGAACAATGAGGGTGTTTGCTGGCCGCGGAGCTAGTTGTCACACTATGGATTAGTGCGTCCTCTATCACATTGGATTCGTCCTATAAGAGAATTATTACTTTTTTAAGTTTTGATTGGGTTTGATAATGTAATCTATGAATTCAATCTTATTCCATACATCTTTAATCCACGTAGATATGTAAGGTTCGGTTCATTTCACCTTTAAAATAATAATATTAAGTAAAAATAATTTTACTTAAGTAAAAATAATTTTACTTAAGTAAAAATAATTTCAGTTCAATAAAAATAAGTTTAGTCTAGTAAAAATTATTTTAGTTTAGTAAAAATAAGTTCAGTTCAATAAAATTCAGTAACTTTAAAGAATAAATATAACATAAAATCAGTAAAAATAATTTCAATTAAGCAAAAATATTTTTTGTTTAGTAAAATTAATTTCGATTTAGGAAACATAATGTGGAAAGCTAAACGTCGCCCTCGAATATCTAACTAACGCCCGCAAATAAAATATATTTTACAAATTTACCCTTGTATTTTTAAAAAAAAAAAAATTAACCCCCTCAAACATAATTTACCCACCCTCACTACCTCTTCTCTCTCTAAACCACCACCACCACTTCCTTTTACCACTCACTACTACCACCACCACCACCTCCTCCTTTAGCCACCAACCACCACCTCCTTTAATCTTTGGTTTCTAGTTCTACACAGTCATAGATATGACGAGGAAGGACAAGGGGAAGGCGGTCGGCGAAGACAAGATTTTTTTATATTATTTTCTGAAATCGGGTTCAAACGCCCAATTTTTTCGAA